TTTTTTGTCATTTGATGAGTCTTTTAGAACTAGTAGATCATATATTGAGTGACTGTGAGAAATTTGGTATTTTGGGACAAAAGATTTAAAAATCGTGTATTTTAATTTTTTTTAAAAGTTTTTCTGACTCATCTGTTATGAGAAGCAAATTTTATAATGCACATTCTTTTGTATTGTAATTAGGTTTGTATCTGTCTTTGTAATTGCCAATGGACCGGGAGACTTAGGCGTTCAATTTTTTATGGAAATCATTTAAATATATTTTTAGGTATCTAACTCATTTGTTGATGGAGTATTCCGCTTTCAGACGTATCTTTTTAACTTCCAATTTTGGATATTTCGCAAAATTCCATAAATTTTATAAAACTAACCTCCGATTCACATGTACGGGTTTTCGCAAATGTTGCTGTCACTGAAACAGTGCATTCTTGTTCATGTTTATGATATCAAATGATCAACCTTGTGTTTGTACTATGAAAATTGCATAAAAATATATCTGTGACGTATTTCGTTCAAAAAAAGATCAGAAATCCGCTGATGAAAGCATTTAAGTTGATAGCTAGCTATGTATATTAATAGAAAATGTATAATTCAGCGAAATATTTCGTTATCCTTTATGCTATATAAATGATCACTCAGTATTACTATTATAGGTCATTCTGATGGTACTATATATAGGTCAATATGTTTACGATATATGCTACCACTGGAGACATCGATAGATGACCATCGATTGGTCATCTATTGAATTGTGATCTGGTCACAACCCTGTGAAGAGAGGGAGGGTGAGAGAAATGGACAGACGTTTGTTGTCTACGGCACTCCAATTTAGTTGATGGCATTAGTGCACCTGTTATTTTCCCTTGATCACTCTTCGGATAGTTTGTTTGTTTTTTTTTTTTTTTTTTTTTTGAAGAGCATTGAAGTGGAAGAAGAGAAAATATGTGGTCGTGAACGAGATGAGTGAGAAAAGAAAAAAAAAAGAAAGGAGCAGTATAGATAGATCTAAAATAACAAAACACAGCTGTTCTTTCAATCTAGTGACATCATCATTCCTTGCATAGGAACAAAAATTAGAGAATTTGAAATGAACTCTATCTTCTTTATCTCATTCCTAACCTAGATTTTTGGCGCTTATAATTATAGGAATGGTTTTGGATAGGATAAATAATATTTGTTTATTGGGATATGTCAAAGGTCACATGATAGTTAGCTATTTCAATATGTAAGATTATTGAGCGGGAAGATGATATAGTATTTTTACATAAATTGGATGAGCCTGGAACTAACATTCACTGTATTTTATTGATGTTGTTCTATTCCGGTGATTTGTACATACAATCTCGTCCACAAGTTTCTTCCTAATGAATTTAACAATGCAATTCTTCTCGTCCTTAATTCAATTATACGTGTAATGTCACGTAGAAGCTAACACTAAAATGTGCACAAATTAAAATACTAGATCGATCCACTTCGGATTTTAGGATAGTGTCATCCGTGTATGTTCCTAATCATTGTTCCTTTCAACTATTTTGTTTTGATGAACCATTACCAGTATGTATTTTAGTGTTGGTTTCTAAAGGAGTTTAACATCGAAGATGTCTAACATTTCCCTCTTTTTTTTTTTTTTTAATCGACTAACGCGTTTTGTAGTTCGTTTAATCCTCTAAGTATTTTTGTCTAATGCGTTCGTTCATCTTATGTGCTTGGTAAATAGAACTGTCAGCAAAGTAATGTTGATTTGAGATATCATTAGTTTTCGAAATATTAGCTTTAAAAATGGTTAAAATTTATGTTTTTAATGCTGGGTACATGAGAAAAAAAAAAAGAAACGAAGCGCATTGCTTCCACTGATTATTTGCTCTTGTTGTTTGGAAGAAAAAAAAAAGAAAAAATTTTTGTGTTAGCTCTCAATTTCGAATTGCTTTTCTATCCTTTGACTATTGTGTATCATCTTACACCTTTTTATCCCAACGAACGTCATAAATGCCTTCCCTCATTTTATTCGTGGAGATTAGATGTGGCTTGACGTCTATCAACGGCTTTTAGTGAATGTCGAAGAAATTAGAAATGACATATATATATTCGGTGGTATCAGGATAATTTGAAGTATTTTGTGGCTAAGCGAGGAGGGAGAAAAAAATGTAAGAAAGATCGATTTATAAGAAGAAAAATGCTCTGTATTAATTGACGTTAAAAGGGAATGGGATAGGGAAGTATTGTTAGGTACAAGGAGGAGAGGAGAAGAGAGGAGGGGAGTGTTATGTGCCAGTCGAGTTTCACTTCCGTTGTCGCACGACTTTGATCGGAACCGAGCAAAACAGGCATCATTTCATGCCTTTCAGAGAGGGAGGGAGTGGAGGAGAGGAGAAGTTGTCGACAATTTGCACATTCTCTTTTCTTTGTTTTAACTGCTTTATTTTTGAAAGATTGGAAAGAAAGAAGAGAAGTGTTGATGTTTATTTTGTGATGTTGTTGTAAGTGGAACTTTTTGCAGATAGAGAGTAGAAGAGAGGAGGAAGTAAATTTGTGAAGATCACAAAGGATGTAGAAGAAGGATAGGAAATGCGAGAGAGAGAGAGAGAGAGTCACAATTGCAAGTCATTTATTTCATGCAGGTTACTGAATATGTATTGTCATTGTTCTCTTTGCCTACACTTCAGGTATTATTATTATGAGTTGTGCATTAGAGTATGTGGCACTGTGATGTGCGCAAAATGGATGGTTCTGGAGGATAAGGGCAAGCAAGGAGACGTGTGACACAATGCTCTCCTGGTCTCTTCCAGAAGTCCAACAATTGATGACGACCAGGAAGGAGACATTGTTGCTAAGCACACACACACATAGATGGACTGTCACTCTACAATGGGCAAGTAATGGCCAAACTAGGCAGAATGGAGAGGAGAGGTGTGCTACAGAGCGGAGATGCACACAGTGCTGCTGGTGCTGGTTGATCCGAGGGGTTCCGAATTGTGTTGCTATTGACAAGTGGAACGTTTAATACAGCACAGCACAGCACATCACCACGATGTGCGCTGTGCTGTGCTGTGCACCATGCACCCATTTCTCTCAGATATCGCACTCTCTCTGCATTCATCTCTCTCCCTCTGAGTTGCTGTTATTGCTTATGCTCTATAGCACTGATCCCATCATGTTTGCCTATCCTGGGGCATGTTTCTTGCATGTCTACCTTCTCCCCTGCCTACCTACCTATCTATCTATCTATCTACCTACCCATCTGTTTATGCTTAGGCCATCTCTTCGGTGTTACGTACGATTCGGTTCTTCTCATCACTTTAGACTAACTACCATTTGAGATGGTGATGATCGCATGGTCCATGTTTGAGGCGCACTTATTATTCCTTTCATTTGTTGTTCATTGTGGTGCACATCACTCTCACTCTCTCTCCCTCTCTCTCGACAAGATCAACTGTTTCAGAGTACATCTAACTTGGCCTTGGCTAGCTGCTGCTTCATTAGCTTATAATATTTTGGGACAAGTATTAAAATGATAAAGTTATCTGATATCTGGGATGTTTTTGCTCTTTTAGGAAAAGACATCTTTGCGCTTCATTCTTGTGTATCATACTTTGTGTAAACAATGTGTGTGATAAATACATCCTTATGAATTATCTCTTTTTATACTATTGCTATTCATAAGCTTAGAACTTATGAATAGCAATAGGAAAGTAAAAATAGGACTGTTAGTAATGAAATGTTTTGATATCAGAGCATTGATTTTCTTCAAAATGATTTACGGAAAGATGTAAGATTCCTATTTATTTAATGTGCTATTGTAGCATATGGTGATTTAGATCGTTTGGCAACGGGTCACATTGAGCAGTTTCTTAATTGGTTGCAAAAGCGGTTACCGTTACTTTGTTTCTTTCGTATACCATTGCTCTAGTATAGTGATAGGAAAAGACGCTTTGTAAGTGCCATGTGGAATTGATTAGATATATGAGATAGTGCATCCTTTTGTGTTTCTTATGCAAAATTATCAATTAGTTTTTGTCACCACTAAAATCAAACGATACAACTTATTCAGTTCCGTAATAAATTTGTAATAGTTTATTTTTAAAGAAGTTCCTAATCGTTTTTGCTGCTAAAATATGTCTACTTATTGCAAATGAGTTTTGCTTTATTGTGTTTGATTTGATTTCTTTAATCTTATGACACAGAGTCTGTTAATGCGGCGAATTAATTGCAATGATGGAAAATTGTGCATAGTTACTGAAACGAAGTAATAATAAATCAAATTTCTAAGGCATTTAAAAGGTGTATATGGTCAGCCACTTTCTATGCTTAAACGCATTATGAAATTTGAAATAAACGGTAAATTAAGGTCTATAATTATCACTATAAAAGCAAGGTATAATTATCACTATATTAGTGAAGTAGACCAGTTGCTGATATGATAGCCATAAAGCTAATGATTACACAGATAAATCTTGGGGGTTTAGATTTTTTAGATTGAAGTTTAGATGTATCCTCTAAATTATCAGCTGCCAGTGTGTCAGCAATTTCACGGCATGATGTGGAATATGAAATAAGTGAAATTGCAGAATACAAACCCGCAACACTAGCTTCTGTAATCATATGAAACATTTTATCTGCGTAGAAAATAAGTTCGGCTTGATGATTTCTTTGATTTTTGGTTGGTATGCTGTAATAATTATGTCGCAACTTATGTTTCTTGTACTAAAAATTATTCAGTTAAATGTATAGAAAGAAGTAAGTTTTTCAACATAATATAAATACGTGCTAATGTTGAGAAACTAAATTCCGTATTTTAGGGATACAAAACTTGTTTAACAAAGTTGCTCTGGTTTATTCTTTTATTTTTGATATAGTTGCAGTGTTTACAAAAATATGTTTTCTTCGCCGCGCCGCGAGATCCATCATAAATATTATTAGTGGGACATATAAGTACGTGTGTATTCAGGAACTAACCACATTCATTAACGAGAGGTCGTAGAGAAGTAAAAGGAAGTGGCCTCATGTGGGCTCCAGTTGATAGTACACAAGCTGAAACAGCTTCGCTGAATTCGTGGAGCATTGAACAACAGCAGGTAATTATTGTTAATAAATGATCTAGAAGTGGAAGAGGAAATCATATCGTAATTTACCTGGTTTTTATTGCAAGCTGATTCACCAAGTTATTACAGTTAATCTTTGGTAGTTGTTCTTCTGTAATGTATTTTAGTAGCTTTCATTCAAGTGCTGACTGAAATCATTTTGTAAACATACCAGATGTGCATTTGTCTGAAGAAGCATCTTTTTTGCAGAATCGTTGGGGTGGTGTTAGTGATTACAGTAATAATGCAGCATTCGATGAGCATATGCGATCAATTGTACCACCGGCTTTTCGTAATAGTAATGCGAAAGTTGTCTGGCAAGAGCCAAAATCATTAGGTGAAGTTTCATTTCAGTTGCATTAATTTCCTGAGCTATTTGAAGTCAATAAATTGGAAAATTAAAAAGCGATTGCTGGCCATATTTTTCTAGAATATTAAACATATTTCAGAAGCAAACATCAATGAAGCATTGGGTATCTGGCAAGCAACGCCTCTCAACCAGTTTTCCTTAGAACAGGAACCATTAAGTGGTTTGTTTTAAATGTAGTTTTTGACCTCCGATTTTATGCACTAAATCAGGTTTGGTTCTGCCCTTTTTAATCTCCCAAAATATCAGTGACAAACCAACGAAGAATAATGGACGATTGATTCTTCTTTTTATATGTTCTGTTTCAAAAATTTGTCATGTTTAATAATGGTATATTGAAACAATTGTAGTCCTAAGTGTCGTCATTCAGATATATATGGACAAGAATATTATATCAGCTAGCCTTAAATTTTCAAGTTGTTTGGTTTCAAGAGTGACTGGAAGAAGATACCATATTAATTGCAATATTAATTACAGGAACTAGCCATTTTCCTCCATCTTTTGCTAGTTGTGGCACAACAAGTGGATGGTCGCAACCTGAAATTGGTTGGTACTTCATTGTTCGTCTTACTGTTTTATTGAAATTCCTTACTGCTGGAGCTAATAAAGGCTTCCTCTGTACCTCATTATACGTTTTGGGAGTATTTTAGAACAACGAAATTGGGATATGTCTACGCAGTCACAAACAGTACGAGCAGCAGTACCATTTTGTGGTGGTTTGACTCAGAATAAATTATGGCCGAATGAAGAGCAAGTTTGGGGTGGTGCTCAGCGTCCTCCAGTATTTCCAACAGCTCCGCCACCACCTGCTTATGCTGCAAGTAAGCATTTGAAATAATGTGTTTTTTAATCTTATTCATCTTTATCCACTTCCATAGGAAAATGCGTCGCCTACCAGCTACTTATGCTACATGTAAATACATGAAAGACTAGTCGAGTTAAATGAAGACAGTTATTTTTGGTCTATTTATAGGCTGGCAGCAAAATGCACCACGTGGTAACGTTTTTCCTCTGCCCACACGATTCAGTGGTCCACCATTCGAAAGTAACGCTGTGATGGGAAATTGGGTGCAGCGTCCGATGAATGAGCCAGTACAGCCGCCAGTGCCACCGTCTGCAATTCCACCACCGCAACGAAGTCGGCTGCAAAATGTTTGGGGTGGCACACCAGCTGTAAACAATACAGTCAATGGAATGTATCTCCCGCCACCTACTGTCGAGTACACTGTAAGATTTCTTCCATCTTCATTATGTCAAATGTCATTAAGGAAGCGCTACCACTGACTTTTGCAAAATCCGGAAAGCTGGATGTATTAGGAAGTTAAAGTGTTTTATGGAATTTCTTCTTGAAATGTATTTCAAAATATATTTTGAAAGGTTCATTGTTGTTTTAGAAACACTCAGTTTCATCGCGCTCTGTTTTGATTTATCTTGAAGACTGAAAATTGTGACTTAATCAAATTTGATGAAGGACATAATAATTAATTGACTAAACATTTTATCATTTTAGATGCCAAATGGGTTGACACAATGGAATCCTTCAGCAGGTAGCAATGGTGCAACAGTAACGGCAGTGCCTGTTGTACCAAAACCACAATTTGCACAAAACTTTGTGAATCGTTCACCTCCTCCCAATACTTTCAATTCGTATTCACAAGTCTCCAAATCTGATTCGGTTGGTGTTTTTCCACTGATTTTTCGTTTTTGAAACGACACATCCTCATTTCATCGTTCTGTTTATACTTGCTTGTGCCGTATACAGAATTTTAAATCTTATCGCTGCTATTTAACAGTTCATGGGAGAGAATGCTGTCTGGCAGGATCCAGAAGGTGAAGTACGTAAATGGCAACGAGATACTGGTACTGCTGCATGGGGTGATCCTGAGAAGCAACAAAGTTTGTCTTTTTTACTTATCATATGACTGCACTTTATTGAATTTATTGATAACAGTGTTGTCAGTTTAATCTTTCAGAAGAAATCAAACGATGGATTATACCAGTCGGAAAAGAATACGACAACTCAGATAACGAAAGCGGTAAGTTTGGCTTTCAGAATTGTCCTTTATAATAGTATTTCGATGTTTTTGTTTGGTCGTGCTTATTCTATTCGCCTCAAGAAAATATATTTCATTTCAGGCGTTCGTGTAATCGTTCCTCTTGGTTGGGGCGATCTTCCTTCAAAATCATCGAATAATAATGCTGCACCGATCTCGGCGAATTCTCTTCCAGCGTGGCCAGCTAGAAGCGCGCAAGCAATTGCTGTCACGGCTTCATCAGGTTTGTTATAAATCTGGTTGCTTATACATCGTGGATTGTTTTGGATTGGTATTATATGCTTTTCGGGGTGCATTAAAAGGTTTATTGTGCCGTTTAATTATCCTGAGAACCTGATGGCTGAGGATCATTTTACTCGCCAGGTATTCAGGTTGCATTTGAACTGAGTGATTTCAGACTTTTTTCTGGGAATATTTTTTGAAACTGCTCGTTTAGGATGGGGTAATCGTTCGGCTTCAGGAACTGCGAAATCAACAACTATTCCAACTCTTTGGGAAATTCTATCTGAACATCAACCTCCATCACTGGAGAGTGGTTGGATACCGCCAGATGGTATGGGTAATGCAACTATGCCTGCTTCAACGCAACAAATTGTTGAACAGCTACGTCAGGCTGTTGCGAAAGGTACTATAAGCTGGTTTACTGTGGATTAGGGCATTGAAGAAATGATAATTGAAATGACCGTGATTTTATATTATTAAAACAAAGTAGTTTAGGACTGATTGATGTTTCACTTCTCAGTAAGCCACTTCCGAATGAGGCGCTCTCAGAGATGCGCACGCTTCTCAGTCGCATTCCGGTACTGGAACAGGCAGAAAATGACTTAGCTCGTCTTATGAACGCCGTTAAAATTGTAAGCTTCTTTCTAAACAAATATTCTTGTTAGTTCGACTGAATTAGAACACGGCCGTGGTTTTGCATTTAATATTGAATTTTGAGAATAACGACCCTGAAGGTGGAAATGGGAGGATGGATACGCCGACAGATCTCATGACATCCGAGCAGCGATCAGAATACAGTCGACTAGTAATTGAAATTGCTGCAACTAAAACGGAAATTTCAACAATTCGTGAACGCATACGTGGAAACTCCGATGCTATCGGTGTAAGGGTAGGTCTTTTACCGAAATGTTTGCATATGGAGAATGTGTTAAGGTAGTTTCTATTTACGTATAATGTAGTATTTATCATGCATAGAAGTACAGATATGAGAATATGAAAAGCATATGTGTTGATTTCCATAAAATTTGATAATGTACTCCGGATTACTCATACCACAGTAAATGCAGTAAGTAGGTGCGAAATAAATAGAAACCGGTATGAAATTAAATTGAAAGCATGGAAACTGTTAAAGGGAAACTGGCGATTTGTTTTAAAATTAGTTTTGTAAGCAAATAAATTTAAAGATTGAGCAGATTTTTGCAGCCAGCAACGAATTTAGCTGAAAGTCAGCGAATGCATCCACCGCAGCCGCAACCAGCTGCAACAACGACAACTTCTCCTCGTTTTGGTGATAGTATTCTGGATGTTGCTGTACGTGTTGAGCAACAGAAACTGTTTTCAATGTAATAATAGATATGAAACACTGACTAGTCAGCAAGGCACGCATGCATCGCTATACCTGCCTTTTTCATTATTTATCATGAAATTTTCGACAGAAACCAACCTCACGGTGCGCGTGCAGCTCAATTCATGCGTAATGGAACTTATATTTTCATTTTTCTTTTTTGTTAGTCCTAAATAATCATATGTATAATGCTATCTCTAATTCAGCGATTTCTCATTTTTTTTAATTAGATGAATGCGCGCATGTCCCTTTTCGTCTTCTATATTTTCCTTAAAGAAATTGCACGTAACACCTCCATCACCTTGTGCATTATGATAACTTTACAGCCATTTTTTTATGCTACATTTAGTGGATTTTCAAAAAAGTACCGAGGTGAAAGATGAAGCAGCTTTACTGCACAAAATATTTATATTCCTGACTTTGGTGCTGATATACTTACTGATGGTAGTAATGGTGTAAGCGCAAGAGTGTATACAGTAAATAAGTTCTCATTTACCAGAAAGAGGTACGGAGTAATTCTATTTTTAATGAATTTATTTAGTAACATGAAAACTAATCTAAATATTCTTTGTGTCTTTCCTTCAGTTCTCATGGGTCATTTATGTCGATGTCTTGATTGATTCTTATTGTATTACATCAAATTATCTCTTTCGTACGTGTTTTTTCATCATTTAATTAGGATAAGCGCATTAGTTATATCGTGATAATTCCTTCCTTTTTTCATTTTTGTATCATTAAATATCCGTATGTTGTAGTTCAGTTGATCCATTGTTGATATTTTCAAACTCGTGCATATTTTTTGATTCCAAGCTCATTGATAATGTTCACTATGTGTAGCTGTTGTGAACTTTCTTGTTGAGAGGAGTTTTTGGAGGAATTTTATATGGTAATCACGTTGTTTGAGACGTACTTGTGTTTTGTTTTTTCTTCCTTTCCTTTCCTCAGCCTTTGGCTCTTAAATTTCCAAAAGCTCCATATATGTTTCCATTCATTCTGCTCAGCTAAAGCTCACTCGAAGTACGAGGAGTGCTTCTGTGCATTGTCGTGGTATGTATATGTCAGGGAAACAGGATCGGTTCGGTACACTCCAAGTTTCTCAAAATTGTAAATTTGCGGTTTGGAAATATATTTTTGAGTTTGTTTTCATCTTTTAGCTGACTTATGATCATGGTTTGTGCATATTAGTAATGTTCGGGCAAAAGTTTACATTTTTTTTTTCAAGCAAAATTAGAATGACTTTTGGCCAAGTTTGTTGACTGAACCGAATCTTTTGGTGTCATCTGCTTCATATGCATTGTAGTTTGTCAATATTTGTTAGATTAGGCTATTTACTGCAACATTTGCTCATAGCATAAGCTTGTGTGTACGTTCAGTACATGTAGTGCCCATTCCGGTACAGTAGCCTCCACTTACTGCATTCACTGTAGGGTCTTTAATGTCGTGGTGTTATACAGTTATTTACCCATTAATAGCTTTGTCAAAAATCTCGGGATATCTTATCTATATTTTTATATTTATGGCATAAGTAACCAATAGTTCTCTCTTATTTACACTCTACTGTCACTTTATAAAGCATTTCATGTTGTCTTTTTTATCTAAATTCTAAACGTATTCGGGATGTTAATTCATGCTTCCGTACTAAATGCTTACTATCAACATTTATTCCATATTCGCATGTACGGTAGCTTTCATTCAGTCATTATTTAAGTTCCAACAGAATAAGAAAGTGCCATTGCAACAAGAGTTTTTTCTAAAGTTCAATTTTCTGAAAATATTCTTTCTCAAAACTCAAGAAAAAGAGCATTTTGAGCAGCAAGATTAGTACTGCTGCTGATCACTGAAAGCTATTGTTCTGTGGTTGCCTCGCATTTCCATTTTTTTTTTTGTCAAAGAGGAAAATATCGGTTCTCGTTACTTCGGGTATTCTTAGTCGTTTACGCCGTTTTTATTCTCAGCGTACAATTAATTTAATTTTTTCTTTCCCATTTTTTTATTATATCATTATTGTGTGTGTGTGTGTTTATATATATATCACTATTAATTGATCAACTAAGCATTAATTGCTATCATCCTTTTTTCCTGATATGGTTACCATTTGTCATTATCAGCTATGATTAGCAGAAACAACTCCATCAGCAAGTGCTCATCGTTACTTCGCCATTATTAATATTATTATTATTATTACTGCTATTGCTATTAATTCCCGAACGTCTTTTCTCGTCACAATTTCATTCTTTTCTAATATACTGTCCTTACTGTTTTCCAATCTTTTCATTGCAGGTTGTTTGTCATCTTTTTCTCTCCTTTTACATACAAAAGAAAAAAGTTGCAAATGATCTCGCTTCTGTGTTTCCTTGGGGTCTATCTCATTGATGCCAAATTTTGCAGTAGGTGCAATATAGCTCATTCATTGGGTATTGTTTATGTCGGTTCACTGCTTTTATTGAGCTCAATTCTGTTTTAGAATTAAGCACGGGATTTTTGAAATTGCATAACTTTGCGTTTGTTTTAATCGTTATAGATCTGAAAAAGATAAGGTAGGGAAATGTATCTGTGTCTTTTTTTTTTTTAACAGTTGTTTCGGCATACTACGCAAATTTTTCTTCGTGAAGCTTTTTTTGCAATCATTTTCTCAAGCCTTTTTGGACCTACTTCCCATTTCGGTAGGCCGCCTTCTCTGCTCTTTATTTTTTCTCAGGTCACTTTTTAACGAACTTAAAACTACAATTCGCTGATGCAGATGCTGCTGTTAATATTTCCCATAATCATTACATATTTAATATCCATAAGCATGAATGGTTTCGTTCTAGTACCTGTTTATCCCTTTTTTGGTCTCGAGCTTCTCAATCTGTACAATACTTTATCATTTTAATCATGCCACCAATCAGCCAATTGTATTCTTAATATTATTAGCCAAAGTAGATGTTTTGAAGTCTTGAAAAAAAGAGTGCGAATTATGGCAAAATTTGGGGAGGCTGTTTTTTTTTTTCTTTTTTTTTTTCGTTATTCGTTCGCTCTCTCATTGTTAACCAAATAATGTACGAGTATATAATTATATATGAATATATGTGGTCTTCCGAGATTCTCTTGAAAATGATGCTCTCTTGCTTGCTGTGATGTGTTGCCCTCCTCAATTGTTTTTGAGTCTTTAAAAATAAAGGGAAATTTTTACTTTCTTGTTTATCATCGCATTTTTGCCCAAAGTTTATTTGGTTGTTGCATTACTCTTCATTTATTCTGAATATTTTATGAGGAAGGTAATCACCACGCTTGTTTTGGGTTATATTTGCAGCTGTAGAATTCCGTTTCTAAATACTACCCGGTGGCATCTATGAGTTATAATAGAGTTAGAGTATTGAGCATCTATAAGTTATAGTAAACAACAGATCAGATTGAGCTTTTATATTGGATCGAAGATGGATCAAAAAAAAAAAAAAAAATGCAGTTTTGATTAATTGAATGTGCAGAAAAAGTTAGCAGGGAAACTTGTGCTATATTTCTTTCTTACTAGTCATATTGAGACTTTGAAGAAGTGATTGTATGCTTCATGAAAAGTAGTATATTCTTGTCTAATTTACTGAAAGATAAGGGATGGTATTTTAAGTCACTTATTTAAGGACAGTAAATTTAAGTTTTCTTAAATTCCGGAAAGTTGCATTGACAGTCTTATGCAGGTGTACGTACACATACCAATATTTTCTTCGTTGGCTTTTCTTTTCTCTCTCAATCATATTGGACAACACACTTCCGATCATCTTTATTCATTCTCTTTACCAGAAACCGAGTCTTTAAGAAATTTAGTTAAAAATAAAATATGCATCGCCTTGTCTTTTTCATTTGAATTTTGCGAATTCTTGACCTCATTAAAAATCTGAGAAGTTAGTAAATCACTTTCGTCTTTTGTGCTTCTCTAACAAAGAGATAAAAGCAAAGCTAATAAATACCCGATTGATAGAATTGATATCCTTTCCAATCATTTAAGTAATGTTGCAAATTTTAGGAATATGAAAGTCTAACTTATTCTTGGATTTCATTAAATAAAATTTGATATCAATTTAATTTCCTTTTCATAAATCTCTTGCCTATGATCTGCTGATGAATTCCATTATTATTATTATTATTATTATGAAAATATAACAAGAATTAGCAGATTGGGTGCTGTCTTTTTCTTTCTTTTTTATTTGCTAATTTTTATTGTCCATGAAATAATTCCCTGAATTGATGTATTCTTCAGCTGATACAATAATACAATATTTGATCAATTATATTTTTGGTTGCAATCTTATACATACACATCCTAATCACATGTATATATATATAAATCTTTTAATTAAATTCCTTCAACTTAAACATTGAATAAACTTTTTTACGCATCTTTTGTATGTGTTGCATTCTATTTATAATAGTAATATGAAAAGTAATATTTATAAAAGATTATCTGTAATACGGTGAAATAATTTCAGTTATTGTAATAATTAGCATGGTATTGCTAACATTTTTTGCATAAATCAGCTGAGATCTTATAGTGATGGAAGGTAATGTTACTTTAAACTTTTAAAGTATTTAAACGATTCGCAAGCATGTTTTTTTTTTTTTTTTTTTTATTATTTTTCTTTTTGAAATTTTGAGTGATTATTGAGATGAATGGGCTAATTAGATGGATGGATGTAGGAAGACATTCTGAGGAAAAGTAAAAAATTCAGTGCATTATTAATTGCTGCTAATTTCAATTTTTTTTTCTCTCAATGATATAGTCCTCATTAAATCAAATTTCAAATTTAGCTATAAAAAGAAAATGAAAAGCTAGTAAAATTTTATTTTAAAGCTAATGCGGATTTGTTATATAAAACTTGTTTTTTTTTATAAAATTTTAATATGCAAGCAAGTAATGAAGGATATTAAAAAATTTCGGAACAACGTAAAAATTTAGAAAAAAAAAAAAAAAAACTGAAGAAATATTAGAAGAAAAAAAAAAACAAATGAAATGTGGAGAAAGTGCCAGGCACTGGTTGTTACAATTTGCTTAATTCTTTATTTAAAGTTACATTGTTTAACGAAGTTATGCTGTCAATCATTTCTTCATAATAGCACTTCGTTCAATAATATGTTTTCTTTGAAGAATAATAATTACTAAATTGATTTTTAACACTTCTTATTAATTTTCAATTGAAAAATCAGCAAGTTTTTTCGCTCTCGAATTCTTTAGTTAAAATTAGATGTATAAGAAAATGGAAAAATGGAGAAAATCTTTGGAAATGAAATCACAATGAATATCATTTTTTTTTAATTATTATTTTCACAATTTTCAAATGAAGGAAAAAATGCAAAGTTTTTTGACTGTGAGAAATTTCCATCCTTCTAATTCTTATTTACTGATTTAATTTCATTAATTTTTTACTCAAAAATAAAATTGAATAATTCAGCTCTGAGAATGCAAAAAAAAAAAAAAAAAGGAGTACAATTTCATATGTAAAATGAAGATATATAATTGTAAATTGTAAAATGTTATAAAATCTGTCATCGGTTATTGATCTAACATGAAATGATCATTATTTTAATTTGTTCTCTATTTGTGATGACATACTTTTCTCATTTTCACATTTTAAAATATTTGTTTACCAACAATATAGGTTTAAATTTTCATAGAATAGATTACAGGCATTCTAAATCATTCAAAATAAAAATAAAATTAAAATAAGTTAAAGAAAGTTAAATTATTAATGTATATCTCTTTGAATATTTACTTAAATTACTAGTTTACTTAATTCTTTAAAAAAAAAAAAAAAAACTCAATTTATCTCATAGTAAATGGGATTGATTGATTAACTTGTTTGAGAAATTTCAAACAAATATATAGTAAAATCTTTTTTTTTTTTTTTTTTTTTTTTTTAAATACTTATCAATTGCTGAAATAGTACTTTCAACAGGAATATTTATAAATAGATATTTTAAATAATACAAGTGAAATAATTTAAATAAATTTAACTACTTTAAGAATGAATATTTACTAAATGAATAAGTGTAAAAAAAAAAAAAATGCAAAAAAAATGCAAAGCGAATTTATAAAATAAAATAAAGATATACAATTAAAATTCCATAAGAATTGAACAGTAATATCGTCGAAAAATGAGAAAATAAGCAAAAATAGATGCTATAAACCATAATAACCAATAAATTGTCCAACGACAGTAGTACCATGTCCTGGTTGGTTCTTCTTCGATTTCAAATATAATGCTAGGCACTTGTAATGGCTAAATTAAATTTAAATTAAAATTATGCTTTATAAAATGTACAGTAGAGCAATATGATAGGAGTTGCAGGTAACATTAGATGGTGTGTAGGATACCTGGTACACCTTTTTTAATAAGTATGTATGTATATATGTATATATTAATGCTAATTTTAATTCTATAAAGTAAAATTTAAAAAAAAAATACCCCTCCAGCTATTGGTGGTGCAATAAATTCGCTCGATGATTGATATGGTTTAGACTGCATTTGATAAAAAAAAAAAAAATGCATTATTTTCAATTAATATTAAAAGAAAAGCAAATAACTAATATCTCAGTTTATTTTCAAAATTTTCAACTTTTTAATTATTCTTTTTTTTTTTTCTTAAATTATTTCATCAAGAAAGATTAATGATTATTTTTTAGTCATAACAATATCATTGTTTTAGGATGCAAAAAATAATAATAATAATAGCTTTAATTGCTAAATTGCTAAAAAATTATCATATAAAATGAATTATTATTATTTATAAAAGATTTTCTAGAAATGGAAAAAATTTTAAAAAAAATAGATTTTAACAAAATTGAAAATTATTTTGACTTTATTAAATTAAAAAGCCAACACCATAAAGTCGACGATATGGATTATCGGATTCATCCGATCTGAAATACATCCAAATATTATCAAAAAAAAAAAAAAAAAATGAATCATTAACAACCGGAAGGAAATTAAATCAAAAATTTTTGCTCACTATTATTAGTTATTTCTGTTTGATACTAATTACGAACCTTTTTTTTCGTCTTTTCATATTCTCACTGATTGCATCCGATGAAGGTGATTCACGATCGGACTGCAAGTTTACATATATGTAAATGCTCAGTTTTAACTTTTTTTTGTTTTCAAAATTTTTTAAAGATAAGTAAAGATAAAGGTAAAAAGAAAAAAAAAAAAAAAAAGAATGACAAATGGAGCAAAGTTATAAAATTAGAAGAAGGCAAATTGAAATTATTTCCACCAAATTATAACAAATAAAACATATCACAAAATTATCTTTTCAATAAAATAAATCACAAAAATACCTTTTCTAATCCTGTATAAATATCACTTTGCTGTTCCCAAACCTTTTTTGGTCGCCTTCTCTATAAAATGCTTTCTTACTAACTCAAATAAATGTAAATGCTAGAGATAAATTTTAAAAATTTTGATTGAAATTTGCAATAACAATGAATTTTAATTCTCTCTCCTATCACAACCATTTTATTCACTCAATTTAAGAAATTTATCAGAAGGCATCAAACAGTATAAGTAGTTGAATTTTCAATTGAAACATACATAACGCATTCTATATGGATCAACCATTTTTTAAAACTTCAAATCAAGTTTCCAGTCGAGCAACCGCTCACAACAGTGATAATTTTTGATAATAAATGATGATTATCAATTATCACTTCTTTATCAATCCAGTTATTAAACACATTCTATCAAGCAAAGATAGTAGTATCAATTGTTTTTTTTTTTTTTTTTTTTATACTCAAAAGGTGTTAGCATTAATAAGATGAAACAATTTTACGAATGAAAAGAAATGAAATTAATATTGCAATATAATTTTGCTATATAGTATTCCAAAAAGGAAATCATATGCATTTAGAAAAATTAACAATCTATTAATAGATAACTAATTTTTTTTTTAACTCATAATTCATTTCCTATCATAGTATTTGAAGAGATAAATAAACTTCCAGAATTTTCAAAAATTATTTCTTAGAAAACAACATTAGTAATGAATGCATTAATTCGATTATTGCTCATTTCACTCGATTCTTTTAAATAATAGAAATAGAATTTAACTTCTATTTCTATTATTTAGAAGTAACAAAACATCCATTCTTGTCCATAATTTTTATGTCCCAAAAGAGCCTAGTCCATTAATTCATCATCAATTTCGTATGTTACAAAAGTGCCTAATCCATAATTTGCCATTACTATAAATAAGTCTACAAAATTTGCACCCTAAATAATTGCTATAATACTATACGACAAAATTCTCAATTTCCGCGAAATTTTTCTTGATCTTTGCTGAAGATGTATCTGTGAAATAATTTCTAGCCAATATCTAAACAAAAAAAAAAAAAAAAAAAAACTAATTGTATATCTTAGATTTAAAAACGTTGACGTTGTTGACACAAATGTTGACAAAATACTTTTACATGTCACAGTCTTATTATGTATATTAGAATACTAACTGTATACATCTACAACAAATTTGTTGCAAAAACCTATAAATGCATCATTTCATCATCGAATGAAATTAATTGAACACAAACATTAAGCATTAAGCATGAATGAACTGACTTGAAGTGGAACTTTGATAATGCAATTTTTCGTCCGGCATTGTTTATTTTCTATCAAACTGTTAGTGCATCAATGCATCAATGTACATCGATATGGCAGCAACACTAATTAAGTCATAAATTAATCATTTTCAACTATACAAATATGCACACAGGAATACATGCATACAAGTGAACAAATAAGCAATGACCCGTCCAAAAGAAGAAGATATGAGGACAAGTATGCATAAAAAATTTCGTATGAAACGTGAAATATGAAACAAATAAATACGTTGTTGCAAGTTATGTTCGAAAATTTTATGTCTAGCACCATAATGATTCCTCCTTTCAGTAATACTTGATGTTCCAGAATAAATTTGCATGCAATTTAATAGCATTTTAACTTGAATAATCTTTAACTAGTTTTCCGTGATACTATACATTATTTCAGATAGATCAGAAATAAATTCTCCTTATTGAATAATTTAAAGAAATATGCAAGGATAAGTCAACTGCTCTCAAAAAGGAAAATAGGAACAACAAGAATTTAAGAAGGAAAGAAATGCAAGAAAATAAGACAGAAGCTCAAAATCTTGTATTTAATAAGCAAAGCAATTTATATATTAATCGCAAAACAGGACAATAAATTCAAGCAAACAGTTCTGCACTAATTCATAATCAATATGAAATGGTGAAAATAAATTAAAATCATTCGAATTAAAAAATACACTACCTAACTGACTACTACTACCTAACTGGAAACAAATTCAAACATAAAAAAAAATCCTTCACTTTTTCCCAAATTTTAAAAATCGGCAAGAATGGGCAACAATTTGTCATGAACTGTAAAACGATTTTGTTTAAATCAAGATGAAAAGATAAAGAATATGCACTAAAATTTTAACGTTTATAGACCCGTAAGATGACCAAAGCAGATGGTGCCATAATTAGCTGAAGGAATTCTCTTTCAACAATTTTTTTCAGAAATTCAGTAATCTCTTTCAGCAATTCTGAAAGAGTGAAAAACTAAATAATGAGAAAGGCTACAACAATTCTCATTTCTGACTAACTTGTCACATAGTATCTTGAAAAGTTTCCATTTCTTCCGACCTATTTGCTTATTTTTAAAAAGAAATTTTCAAAATCTCAATAGAAAAAATTCCACAATAACTTACACTTCAAACTACTCAACCCTTAAATTTGCTAGAACTCTGAAACCATACAATGGTTCATCTAAATTTTCACTTTTGCGATTTCTCTTGCGTTTTTTATTTTTCCGCTTCCTTGTTTGCCACGGATTCTGTTCACTACGTGTTGAAAGTTGAGACGGTGGTCGATCAATCAATTCCATTAACCCTGGCATATTAGGAAGATTCTCTTCTTTTGTTTCGTTTTCCGTTAGCAAACACGCCTTATTAGGCGGTGGCAACGAAGAGTCGCGCAAAACTTCAACCTGAACAACGTTATCCACGTCACAAGTTAAAGATGTGACTTCCTCTACCAGCTGTTGCTCAGGAAATGCATTCACTGAAATAGATTTATTCTTTCTCTCATTTCATTAATTAATCCTTCCATGATCAATAACTTATGAAAAATCCATTGGAAAATGCAAGTTATTCGCTATCCAAACTGGACGTACCGGTTGATCGAACATCGGAATTATCTTGAATAAATTTCTGAAGCTGCTCATCCATTATCTGTCCAGCAGCACTGCGATTAATAATGGTAAAAGCATAGTGTAATAACAATAGGATGAGTAAGGTTAAGATGTTTATAAAAACAATGATACAAACCAGCTCACCACTCTGAAATATAATTAGCTTCTCAGTATTAATTGTAAAATCAATCATACAATAAATCATAGCAAGAATATATGCAAGGAGTAAATTTGACCTTTTGTGCAAACTGCTTACAGAAACTATGTTAATATTTGAATTTACAATATTCAGCAACTACTGATAATGGAAGTCGATCAGTAAAGTTACTTCAATATTTTAAAATATCATAACACGCAATAAAATTAGATGAATTTAAAAAATCAAACAAAACATACCGTCCATACGCCAAGATAACCATAGAAATGTGCTTGAGAAGGTGCTAATGATACATCCGCATCATTAGTTCTACCTGCGACATGCTTCATTATCATAGTATGATGTGCTGGAGTAATTTCCTGTGGTAAAGCTCTGACTGTTTCACTGAGTTCTCTCAAGCTGGCTGCAAGAGCATCCATCTGCAAAGAATGTTCCTTCCTTATCATTACGCTTTTTTCACATATCAAGTTTATTTGTTTTGGAACTTTTCGAAATTAAGAACCTGAATTTTTAGAGCATTAATGGAAGGTCTGATGGCATTAATAGCTGCTTCTTCCGCTTGTTTAATAATTAATTCAGCCTGTCGCCGACTTTCATTAGTTTGTAAAACATAACGTCGACTCAGTTCCGACAGATATTCACTGCTGAGAGACATATTCAATTCCAAACTACTGATTCGTTTATTCAGTTTCAGAAATATCGACTCTTTATGACTCATAACTCCTCCAGGAATCATAAATCCTGTAAAACAACACATGCATAATTATAAAAAGAGTAGTATACCATAAGTCAGAATAAGCTAAGCTGTGTAAAGCACAGACTAATAAAATAGTTGATCAATCTAGAGAGTGTTCAAATTTTTTCTCACCTCTGCCCAACTTTCCATTCAACGAATTTGAAGTCATCGGTGAATTTATGGTAGGTGATATTGTTGAGATACTATCCGATTCTGTTACATTATATGAAGTGACATTTTTAAAATTTTCTGATTCCAGCTCACAAATATCGGTTGGCAAAACGGAAGAAAGGAAAAATTCTAGAACTCGCGTTCGATTTTCTTTCTTCTGATTTTTTAAAGATGGAATACGAACCTGTAAAAAGGATTAATAAAGAAAATATAAAAAGTACCCAATATAATTTACGTTCGATATTCAAAAGATGCAATAAATGGTCAGACTAAGAGCCAGAATACATATTATGAATGATAAAACATCCTTCTAATAACCTGCTTATTTTTTGCTTCATTAATATTGCCAGTGCCAATAAAACTATATTGAAGTCCAAAGAATGCTCGACAAAACAAAACGTAATTACTGATTGTGTCGGGAGAACATTTCGTGCATAATTCTACCATGGTTATATTGATTCTACAAAATACAAGAGCAATAACACAAAAACTCAATCTGATAGTACACAAGATACTGAAATTCATCAGTGCCTTAACAGAATTTCATATTTTAGCAAATTATATTGCCTTATATTTGATAGGTGAGATATACCAAGATTGCACAAATAATGACGAATAACTTTTGTAATATGAGTGGAAATAACAAGACCTGGTAATATTATGTGAAGAAACTCCAGTACGTTTCGATAGAAAAGTCGATTCGAGAACACCTTTGATATTACCAATTCCTATACTGCCAACTGCATTCACCACAGCATTAACAAGCGGCAAATCGTTAACACTTTCATTCTTCTTTAATAAAATTTTATTTACTCTAGTATTGAGCTGCAATATGAGTAGGACAAATGTTAAATGGCATATGTCAAGTAAATCATGAAAGAATCAAAAAACCTCGACTGTTTCAGCCGCTAATGGAACATCCTCTTTTGCGGTATTAGTTGGGATACCAATATCCGTCTTCCCCGCTGTTACATTGTTTTCTGCTAATACTTCCTGGAAACATATTTTTACAGAAGATATTAATTAGATACCATGTCCAGGAAATTTTTTAAAGAGATCCTCATTCTTTTTTTCAACCGAAACGAAAACCAGGTCACAACTGTCCTTCAAAAACACAAAAATTATTTGATGCTTTGAACTTGTAGATCAAACGCCTACAAAGGGAACAGAAAACGATGTGTCTGAAATTGCGGCAGCTTCAGCCTCTGCTTCATATTCATCAACCATTGAAATCCCAAGAAGTCGCACTAAACTAAGCGTACAGTAATGTTCGCGACCATAGTGTGACAATAATTCCAACTGAAATATTCCTCTTTACAATAAAGTTTTTTTTCTTTCATTCAACTGCTATGAATTTCATTTAAGATACCGATACGAGATGAAATATTTTAAAATTGCAAATTTCTTGCATGAAAAATTTGATGCAACATGGGGATACATAGAAAAGCACTAAGAGTATAATTTATAATTCAAAATTGGATTGCATCATACGTTTGAAAAAAATTAACCCGCAAAAATTTGACATACGAACGCGCAGTGATTGAAAACCGTTGTATTTCACGATTGTTTTCAACAACAAAATCACCTAAAGCCATCCATTCATTTGAAGGATAACGTTCACTGCCCAAAATTCTTATATTTTGCGGCCCTGATGAGAATAATTCGAAATTTGCTATTTCCAAAACAGTTGGCTGAAAATTAGTCTCTAAATACTAAGAAACAAACAATCAGGAGCAAACAAAACACATATAAATTTCAAAAAACGATGGATGGGAAATTTCGTTGAATCTAACATATATCAGTAAATTTAAACCATTTAATTGGAATTCACACCTGTATAGTTTCACAAAGTTCAATAATAAGCCATTTATGCTCTGCACGTTCACAAGGATTACGCATATAATCATCCGCTTCTTTCTCATTCAATATGGCATTCTGCAATGCATCAAAAATTATATTATTTGACAGCTTGTACTTGGATCTGCGTCTCAGGACCCGATCCATTCCTTGGATCAGAGCTGGACTCCTAAGCAGCTAACGTTGCCTTCACTGGTTACGTATAGTGGCTAGCAAGTTTACCTTGAAATAAAGCTCCAATTATATCTACGAAAACATGCATTGGTTATAATATGATTACCTTATTTTCAGCCTCATCATTGCTGAACAAAACTTTAGCACCACATTCTTTCGAAGCATAGTTCCTTGCTGTAGCCTCCTGAGAAATCATATTTGGCGGCGTAAGTCCTGCTGTACCTTCAGTTTTTGATGTAGAAATTGAACTGGAATCCATGTTCAAAGTCTCACCAATATCCGAGTGTACAGCCGCTTTATGCTGGTTATTCTGAAAAGTTTCTATGCATCAAATAAATACTCATTTGTTCTGGAAGAAAACTGAAGGAATTTTAAAACTTCATTTTCACATCTTAAATATTGGCATTTTAAACTGAACCTGCTGTTGTTCAGCTTTCCTAATCTCTTCTTTTTTTAACTTTTCTTTAGTCCATTCATCAAATGTAACGATTGGAGGTTGCTCACTAGAAAAAGGAATGGTTAAATCAGCTTCTTGTGCAGATGGAATCGCATCAATTCCTGCTTCTGTATTCCTAAAATTTCACTAAGCATGTAGTATGCAAAATAACTGATAGATATACATTAAGACTGTTATTCGGTGACTGACATATTGGTTCCTTCTTTTTATTCCTATTCTTGCTTGAAAAGTTCAAACCATTCAATTTTATAAAAGAATTGAGAAGACTGGAAACTTAGAGCCATTAATGATTGTATTAAACCATTCCGTTTTTTAATGAGGTTGAGCTCTTTTTATTTTTTTCAAGTTAGTCAGTTCAACTATTGATGATCGTCCAACCAATTTAATTGTTGCTCTACAGAAATTAAAAAAAAAAAAAAAAAGGAAATTTACTCCAAAAAGAATGTAGATTCGTATTTTACAATATTCTTCGCCGCATTTTCTATTGATTGTCCTGTTTCACCGTTCAATTTAGGACTTCTCACTCTAGATCTCGTATCATTATTTGTTGCATCACATTTATTATCTTCATAAATAGAGCAAACTGGGAAGCGGTAATCAGGAAGAAACCTGAAATTCATAGCTTCCAAAGGCTGTTGAGTCCCAAAAGACAATTTTGGAATTGGAACAATATAGATCTTAAACAAAAATCTGCGTAACTTAACAGCTGTGTGAGTTATTAAGATGATTTAGGGCTGAAAATTAAGTTTAATTCTGTTAAAAACTTATTAATTTGATGCATAATAATCATAAATAAACCATTACAATAATAATAATAAATAGACCATCTAATAGAAAGATGGAAGACCAAGGAAGAGACGGAAAATTAAAACTAAGGAAGACGAAGAACTAATCAGTCAATTCTTCTATCGCACTTAAAAGAAATTCATTTCAGTAGCCATTAAAAAATTAGAATTTATAAATTAAAGCAAATAAATAGGAGCGAAACAAGAAAGAGATTCTTAGAAGTAGACGGTGATTTGTATAAAGTACGAAGTCAATATTTTACAAAATCGACTTAAAACAATTTTCTTATTTCCTGCTTCAAATTCTCTTTCTTAAAAAAAAAAAAACAAGGCTAGTCGAAGTATTATCACGTATTGAAATTTGGAATATAATTCAACGTTTCTTTAAATCCACAGTAACCAATATATCTGGTAAGATCCTGCGATAGATAAAAGAACAACAATGTGGTACAGTATTAACAAGGTACGGAAAAATATGCTAAGAAGAATTGCACTTTCATTATTTTTAAGAAAAGACTAAGCACCCTATGTGGTTATTAGGAGTTCAAAAAATTTTTAATAGTGTGCTTCATATACCTAGACAAAAAAGAAACTTCTGCTTAATGTTTGAAACAGAAATCAACAAATAAAGAACGAACTAATTAAAAATATACCTTTTAAAAGGCGAGACATCATAAGTTGATACCCATTCCGCATCAACAATCGGTACTAACGTTAGAAACTGTATGAAGTATGCTATACATATAAATCTAAAAAAAAAAACTTTCAAAGAGAAACACACAAAAAAAAAAAACCCAAAAAAATAAAAAAATACTAGCATTTTCCGCACTCAGTGCAATTATTTGAAATTGTTTTTACAATAATAAGAAACACAAAAGTGATAGCGCACTGAATTCATATACTACTGCATAATGAAATATAAAGTAAAACCGGTTGCTATAAAACTTAGTACTCGTCAACAAATGACAGAGAAGTATTAACTTTATGTGACCTGAATAAAACTTACTTTAAATATAAAGAGAAAAAGTCATAGAGATTATTCCCAAACATATCTTCCAGCCTCCAACTGAAACACATCAGAGCGCTGCGTCAGTTTCCTGAAGCTCAATATTAACTGTTCAGAAAAGGTGAATCGAATGATCTCTTTCTAACTTAAATTCTCCAGCAAAAAAAACACTTCCATATTTCCCTATAAATTTAACTTTTCTTCGAAACAATATTTCCATACGTATAGTATCTATCGATCTTTGCTATGATTACATATTTCTTATCCATAGCGCAAAACATCTTTCTACAGTCAATCATAACATCCCTTCACAAATTACTAACTACACCGTATTAATAGTCACGTACAGAATGTTATGTTTCCAGTTAGACAAAACATGAAAAGATAAATTATGGTAGTGTAAACCTTATTCCAGATCTACAACTGATATTTGAAACGCATTAAATGAGCCATGAAACCATTACAATAAAATAGCACAACCTCATTAATGGAAGTCGTTTATTTCATATTTGCAATTAATAAACATATAATTAACCAACCAATACACCACCAATACAAGTTCTGTAGTACCACAATGTATAACTTATTTATTCTCCTAATAAAATCTGCTCAGCACACTTAAATCGTTGAAAATTTTGTATAACATAAGTTTAATATTAATAAAAAGTGAAACATCTGTCCCACATCCGTGTCAAAGTAGCTGAAAGAGAAGAAATAAGTATCACATTTGGAAGAATAAATCTTCCTAATTTTTAAAGAACTAAAAACTGAATTACTGATAGCAAACATCACATAGAGAAATTTGCTTCCGCATGGAGATTACCTGAGACAGAATTCGTGTTTTTCGGTAATCACACAAAATATAACTCGAAATTTGTAAGACTTTCAATTCAATTCAGAAGATGCTTTGTCAGAGTAATTGAAACCAATCTATCAAACTAAAATAATATGGAAGAATACAACTTCTGTTATGACCACAAAAATTTAATAACAATGCACTGACGCAGTTACTTGACGAGAGCAAATTTAATCTTCACGAAGAGGCAAATGCATCTTGCGAATTGGTTTGCCTGCTTCAGCAATCACCAAATGTATCTTATCTCCTGTGCTTATTTCACGTTCTGCTGCTACACGAAAAGCATCTTTTATAAGTGATGTAGCTCGTTCAATTGTCAAAAGCGGCTTCTCCACATCACCAGACATTGTTACCAAACCAATCTACAATGAAAGAATATTTATGAATTCGGGCCAGTAGCAGAAAATGATGGATGGGACCATCCAGTTAGCAACAACTACAAGAAACTGAACTCGTGTCAGTCAAATTAAACCAAGTAATTTTGAAAAAATCATTGAAGATGTGAAGTACAGTTTATTTCACCGCAGGATGGTTTCGTCTGATGCAAAGGATTCTGACAGCATCAGCATTATTCTGCTGACAATCACGAGTGTTACTAATCAAACAGTTAAGAAAGAATAATGAACGACCATAGTAGTAAACTACACAGACAACTACATAAGTCGTATGATGAGAAGACAGAAAACATGGAAATAAACAAAGACGATGTAAGATGCAATCAACCTGGCAATCGAAAAACGGCATAATCATTGGTTCAGCGCTACCGGAAGCAGTGTACGCGATATGTTCAATGCACCCAATGGGATCATAGCTAAACACAGCTCCTTTACCTGGAAAAAAATTTTAAAAGCTATATGCAATTACAAGACTTCAGAATTTTTAGACGCTCGAAAATAATAAAAATTCATACCATTCTCATCAATGCCGGCTAATATTGCACCGGTGTAATACGGAAAAAAACGTCGATAATATAAATTTCGTGATAATAACTCGGCGCATAAATCTACGGTCATATCCCCACGATAATCAAACCGATACTTATGTAAACGAGCCTGTGAAATAATGAAAACTACTGATATTTTAAATTACATAGCTCCGCAGTAAGATAATATTAATATCCGAAATAATTGTACCATTACTACTCCAACATTACTAGTCGAAAAAATCTAAATTACACCTTCAGAAGTGACAACAGAATTTTTAAAGGTTCATTTGATACTCAGATAGACCTACAAATGTATAAACAAACAAATGAAGAATTTAATCACTATTCAGAACAAACCTCCAACAATCGCTTCAGCTGCAGAATATCGCCGTAAAATCCAGCACACGAAAGTACAATTGAATCATTTCTGAAACAGTTGCATTCGTTCACATAAAATAAATACACCATTCTAAAAAAACCATCCTGCATTATGATTAAATGAAACCTTACAAGACATGGATCTTCTCTGCATCACGAGTCAAAACATTGATTTCAAATTGTGACATGCGTGTATCACTCGCCATAATCGCAAAGTTATCACCAGCAATTGCTGCTGTAGTTCTAAAATTAATACTAACTTCTTTTTGCTAAAAGATGCACAGAAAATCACAAGTAAAAGAAGTTTTTTCAGAAAATAATTACTTCATGCAACAAATTCTCTAGGTTACTACTGGTTAGTAACGTTTTCACTTGTTTTGTCAAAAGGATTTGCAATGCTAATAACAGTGTTAATTCCACTAAATTAAATTTAAATTTAAGCTTGAACTCCCAACTTGTGGGGAAGGAAAGTAAAATAGAAAAAACAACCGCTAAGCTGTCCTTCGGCCGAATAAGAAAATCCCAGCGAAACCACTAAATGATTTAGAAAAGTTAAACCATCTAATCATTACTTAACAAGCGTGGGATTAAAATGAAACTAATCACAACGTGACATTTTCTTGACTAATGTATGCTTTTAATCAAATAGCTTATTTCATTATTACTGAAACTACATTTTTAACTTACCCTCCTTCGAAAGAGTAAGGATTCCATTCCGATGCTTCCTTCAATACTGGGGTCATCCAAGGTGGTGATGCATGGACTTCGGCTAGCTTCTTTTTAAAAGCTTTCATGTTTCCACCAGGATAGGAGCCCATATCTAATTCATCCATAAGACCCATTCTTTGGCACGAAAACAATACAAAATGAACATGAAAATTATTCCACAAGTACAGAGACTAATAAATGATATGATAAATCGATGATACCCTATCTGCAAACCCATTCCAATCATTTTAGCCCACACAATCAAACTGATATCTCAACCACTTTCAATTAACCAAATAATCGATAAAACCGCCCAAAAAAACTGTTTTATTGCGCCGAAAGCCAACGCGCATACGCCTAAACAAGCTTAACCCGCCTTATGGAATGGCCGAACCATCGAGAGCGGTAAATCACAGTAGAGTAATGGTTGTAGGGTTGGATGGAACAGGTGGTCATGTAGTGGTTGCTACAGGATTATGGTTAGTTTCTCGAGGAGAGTTTTGTCTCCTGTCTCTCCCTCTCTCTCTCCTTCCCTCCCTTTCTCTCCTTCCTTCTCTCTTATGATTAACATATTCCTGGAGGAGGAATTCCTTCTCAACTTTGAAGAAGATTTAAATTAATTTTGTTTTGCAAAAAGTTATATGAACAGTGTATAGAGCAGTACATTGTTTATACACTGTGTATGGTTAATGTGACACATATTTCAATATTATATGTTTTTAAAAAGTTGAAAAAAAAAAAGGAAATTCCGTTGATGTATGTTTTGTCTTTTTTATCAATTTCGGTGTGATTCCATCATGGTAACAAAGAAAAAAGAAATGATAAAACGAAATAAATTGGATGAAACGACAAATTTGGGACGTGAAGATGAAAGTGTAAGTTCATATGTAATTATGATATTATAAAAACTAGTTTTGCTGTGATTCTCTCAAAAGAACTTACAGTTTTCTTATTCCGGCTTGTATTCTTGGACTTAATTTAAAATCCAGAAAATGGTTACTATTATTTTCAGGATGAACGTGGTTCAATAGAGAAAGCTGCTTCGGATAAGTGCGAAGAAGTGACCAAATCTTCTTTGCAAAAACATAAACGGAAAAAATCTAAGTAGATTGTTGCGTTGATTTCTTCATTCTTATGGTTTTGCCTAGAGATCATATTCATATTGGTTGACTAGGTTTAATAAGGTAATCGTAGTGGGTGGTGTAATTCATCAGTATCTCAGTTATTATTATTCTGTTAACATCCTTTCGATATATTTCAGACAATACGTTGCTCAGCCATCAGCATGTTTTGAAAATGTAGAGTTGGCAACAGATGTAGAATCAGTAATGACTTTCAAAGATTTTGGTCTGGATGAACAATTGTTAAAAGTAAGTTTCGTTCAAGTTTCAAAATTATACTCTTTAAAAAGTTTTTTAGATAGTGGAAATTGAATAGAAATAGATAAATTGAATGAGAGAAGAAGGGAATGAAAAGAATTTTCATTAGAATTACAGGACAAGTGATTAATTCAGTTGAAATAGATAAATTGAATGAGAGAAGAAGGGAATGAAAAGAATTTTCATTAGAATTACTGGACAAGTGATTCAGTTGAAATAGATAAATTGAATGAGAGAAGAAGGGAATGAAAAGAATTTTCATTAGAATTACAGGACAAGTGATTAATTCAGTTACTTTTTATATTTTCGTTAATAACGGTATTTCTCGGTTTCTTATTATTGTAATTACTAAATTCATTCAGGTTATTGGTGAGTTTGGATGGGAGCGTCCGACATTGATTCAGAGCCGAATGATTCCAACTGCTTTTGAAAATAAGAATATTCTTGCACGAGCACGAACGGGTAGTGGCAAAACAGCCGCATTTATGCTTCCTCTTGTACAAAAAGTTTTGCAACTGAAATGTGTTAGTTTTTCGTCTTTTTCACTGATATAATATTCAATGAATGTCTTAAAACGTCCTTAAAATTATGATATAGGATTTCTTCAAGTCGAAACAGCGCTATTTACCAGTTTTTTTGTTCTTAGTTTAATGCTTATTGTTTACGGCACAAAATAAGATTCAACTGAGCTTAACTGCAGTATTTTCAAACAGTTTTCGTTCCAGAATTCTTCAAGTAACGGAGATGCTGGTCCATTTGCGGTTTTCATTGTCCCTTCTAAAGAGCTGGCAAAACAGGTAAATATTATATGTTCAGCTTTAGATACTAGTTTCAATTCCGTTTTAGTTTAATTTTATTTTCGTTCAAGAAAATAGTTTTAATTGCTATTTAATTATGATTATTTCAGACTTATTCATTGCTATGCAAATTAACAGAGAAATTCCCGTTCTTAATGTCGTTGAATTTCGCGGAATTGAATGTAAATACTGATGATGGCTGGCTTTTGGTTAGTTAATTTTTTCGATGATGTTCGGTGAAAATCTTTCTTATCACATAGAAGGTATTATTTATGCTAATTTTTTCAGAAGAAACCCGATTTTGTTGTTTCTACACCTGGTCGATTACTGCACGCTCTGAAAAAGTATGGAAAACCGTGCGAATCAGTTAAACACGTTGTACTAGACGAAGCTGATTTGCTGTTGTCGTTTGGATATGCTGAGGAAATGAGGTATCCTCCATTATTGTTAAATGCTGACCTTGCTTAATTTTTAGGTTTTTTTTTTTCTGCGGAATCTTACTATTAGTATTTTTTTTCAGGCTGATAAAAAATTTTTTCCCAGCACACCACCAGACAATATTCACTTCAGCAACAATGACTGAAAACGTCGAAGCACTTAAGGAGCTCTACGTGACCGGTCCAATTGTTCTAATGAAATTGAAGGTGAATTTGGATTTGTCATCTTTGTGCTCAATCTCAAAGCTTCTTGAGTTTATATATTTATAAATTAATTTTTCTGCAACATAACGTTTAGGAAGGACAGCTACCGAGTAGCAAGCAGCTTTCACAGTATCATATTTCTTGTCAAAACGAAGAGGAACGGTTTGCAATCTTTTTGGCACTGTTGAAGTTGAAATTAATTGTTGGTAAATCAATCATCTTTGTCAGAGATACGGATCGTTGTTATCAGTGAGTTCATTGTTTTGGTTGATGTTGGTAGAGTAATTTTTTTCTTTTTTTTTTTAATTGTTTTAGTAAGAGTAAGTGGATTCAAAAAAAATATGCATTTAGATGTGGTAGGTAATATCTTGTTTAGTCTCTTTAACAACAGCATTATAATTCTTAGCCTGACAGAACTCTATTGCCGATACCGGCTAAGGATAATTAGCCCAATCACTGTATTTGATTAGAATTCATATTTGTCTTTACTTTCATATTGTTTTAACCGTGTTTTTCTTAGACTTGGACTTTTTTTACAAGCATTCAATATTCGATCATGCATTTTGAATGCCCAAATGCCAATGAATAGTCGTTGTCATGTAGTGGAACAGTTTAATGAAGGACGGTATTCCTACGTCATCGCCTCTGATATAAATGATGTATCAGGCGAATCGCAAGCAGTGATGAAAGATGAAGATGATGAAGATGTATGGTTTCTCTGTTTTACTATTCAAAATAGACAATTTTATTTGGTATGCGATCACTTTAGTCATAATTTTATTTTCAGATATCTAAAAAGAAAAAAATGCAGAAAAAGAAACGGAAGCATATCGACAAAGAATCAGGAATTTCTCGAGGCATTGATTTTCATCACGTTGCAAATGTCATCAATTTCGATTTCCCTACATCGCTTAACTCTTACATACATCGTGTTGGCAGGTATTAATCAGAAAATAAAAATGCTATTCCCAACTGGAAGTCCTGATTTTAAGAACTTTTGCTTATTATGATGTTATTCATTGTTTAGTATGTTAATTTGTGATATTTGAGAACTGCTAGAGGATGGAACAAAGGCAACGCTTTATCATTTGCTTCACCTCAAGAAAAGCCGGTTTTGGATGAAGTTCAAGAAGAAATTAATGCGCAGTTAGGGCATCGTGCAATCACTCCATATGAAGTTCGCATTAAAGAACTGGAATCATTCGTTTTAAGAACTCGAGTACGTTACCTAAAGCTGAAGTTTTGTTTGCTTATTTTATGAAGATTTCTAAAAGTGAGAAATTTTATACATTACCATTCATATTTCTGTAGCAACTGAAATATAGAATGTAAAAGATCGCTACATATATTAAAGTTTAGAAATTCAAGCATGTTTGTTGTAGTGAGTAAGAAAAAAAAAATCCTTACAGGAAGTACTCGCAGCTTGTACCAAGACTGCAATCAGAGAAGCTAGATTAGCGGAAATACGGGCAGAAATATTGCGCTCGAAACGACTGGAAGCTTATTTTGCTAAGAACCCTCGTGAAAGGGCGGCTTTGGAACACGATAAGAAATTATTTTCTGTGAATCTTCATAGTCCTGCTATTGGCGATGTTCCGGATTATATGGGTTTTTACCATTTTCTTGTTAATTGTGAAACCGTAGTTTAAGTTTTAAATTAATTTGCTTTAATTCGATATCCAAACTTTACGACCAAATTTGCGTAGCTTAAAAAATATTTAAAGAATATCTTTTTTATAGTTCCACCGTCGTTACGAGGATTAAATTATCGAAGTGAACCAGTGAAAAAGGAAGGAAGACGAAAGCGCAAAAAGCAAATGCGCCCAACGCCACATCAAATGAAATACCAAAAGAAAATAGAAGACCCACTGCAGAGTTTTTCATTTCTCTGATCTAAATTTTTATATTTTTCCAAGGTTTTTGTTGAATGATTATCAGAATTTCTTGCCTTTCAGTTCGAGTCACAAATCTATAATCAGAGCTGATAAACAAATAACTGATTGATAGCTTTACAGTCTATTTCTATCAGTTTTCCGGTAGACTTTAAATTTAGCTATTCACACATTAAATTTGTGTTCGATTTCATGCTATGATTATTTTTCTGTCATGCTCATTTTTAAGTGAATTGTTTTTTCTTAGGCGTTTGTAAATGTTTCAAGTGACTTGTTGTTTTCTGCTAATAAAAGAAAACTATCAGTTTCATGTTAGTTTATTTCATGTTTTTTACTAAAGCTCACTTATCTGATTGTCCATCTATAACAAAAGCTGTCGTAAGGAGGATATTAAGTAGAAATGGGCAGAAAAGTATGTGGAAAATAAAATTGTGGAGAAAAATCTGCCTGGCTAACTGCATGGATTATGGCATTATGACATAAGTAGAGCATGTTTTCTTTAGGATGAAACGAGTATTTATTAGGTGGAGGCTTGAAGTTAGGTGGAGGCTTGTAGATGTATGCTGATGCATTTTTGCATTGTTTGAAAATTTCTTTGTTATAGTGGAAAAGTACTAAATTTCGATTATTTTATTGTGGTCAACAGAGAAAGGCAAAAGAAGAGGTGGATGAACCGCGTAATTTCCAAAGATACAGCAAAGAATCGATATGAGAAAATCAAACATCTTGGCGAAGGGCAGGTAAATTAATTAGCAGTAATTTAGTAATTTTTATGGCTGTTGTTGATTTTATTGAAGTATTGGTAGAAATGTTTGTTGAAATGAATGGATGAAAACGTTTCATCTCTTGGGATTACTTTGTGAACTGTTTTTCAACAAACAGTTTGCAAAAGTTTGCATTTGAGTTTCGATATATGTCACACTTTGTTAAAATTTTACTAATTTCTTTTTTCGGTAGGAAATATCAGAATGCTACTTACAATTGCAACATTAGTTCAATTGTTTCAGTTCGCTAACGTTTATAAAGCCAAGGATACGGAAACAAATGAATTTGTTGCAATAAAAAAGGTTTTGTTGAATTTTTCGAATTAAACTGTGAATCTAGATGTATTAAAAATTGCAAACATTGATCTTAGGATTGAAATATTAAAATATAAATATTTAGATACAGTTTAAGGTTATCTCTGTCTAGGAACTCCGTCTTTTTTTTTTTGTCAGCAAGTTATTACTTTTATTTTTTGTACTTCTATTAAAAGTCAGAGTAAAAAATCATTAGTATTGATCATCTATGCGATCTTAGATAAAGCTTGGCTCAAGACACGAAGCAATGGATGGTGTAAACCGAACTGCGTTAAGAGAAATCAAATTACTACAAGAACTGCATCACGAAAATATTATTGGAGTAACATTTTACTTTTGAATTTCTGAATCACTGACCACTTCATAATATCTTCATACAGTTTTGTACAGTTTAAGAGTAAATGAGAATAAGAATCAGACTTGTATCTGATTTTTTTTTAAGATATGAAGAAGGTGATTATAATTTATCATTAAGACAAAGCATCAGAATAGATTTTGGATTATTATGAATGCAAAATGTGTAGGTAGACACTGTAATATTACAAAATAGATTTATTCTTCAAAACCATTTTGCTTATTTGACTTCAGTCTCTACATATTTACTAAAATATTTATGGTTCTTAGCATTTCCTGTATGCGTTGCAGTAGAAAATTTGCTTAAGCTCGATCCGTTTAATGATTATAAGTTAACGTTTTTCTCGTATTGTTTTATTTGCTAGAAAGCTGAACAGTTTTTCATTTAGAATTAGTCGCCAAAATTGATATTGATTTGAAGTATTGAGGCTGAAAGAAAGAAAAAGATGCATGTAATTCATACCTGACTTGCCAACAATATATCTCAATCTTCTAATAAAAACACTGAGAAATTTTAATCCTAGCTTATTATATAGGAAATAAAATGTTCTTAATCATCCATATTACAGCTTTTAGATGTAATCGGGCATAAAACAAACATTCAGCTTGTGTTTGATTTCATGGAGACAGATCTGGAACATCTGGTGAAAGATAAAGCAATAATTCTGATGCCTGAACATATCAAAAATATGGTGCTTCAAATGTTGCTAGGACTGGAATATCTCCATTTGCACTGGGTTTTGCATCGGGTATATATACTTCAGTGAATCCATACCATAAGCTTTCTATAGATTTTTTTTTCGTCATAGATTCCTTGAATTTTCATTTTTTTGATTTCAATTTCTTATTAATACAAGTTACGTTAGTACGTAATTTCAGGATTTAAAACCAAATAATTTACTGATTAACTCACAAGGGCGAATAAAAATAGCCGATTTTGGTCTAGCGCGATTTTTCGGTTCACCAAATCGTCATTATACATATCAAGTAACGATTTTACTTATTATTCGAAATCTGCCACTGGTTGTATAAATGTTTGCTTATGTTACCAACTTTTAAAGTTCATTTACTATGTGCCAAGAAGGCTCCAATTATATTAAATGTATCTAATTAGTTGTAAGCAAATTAGTTCAAACACGCTGTATGATGAATTTGTTCTATTCAAAAAAATTTTCAGGTAGTGACCAGGTGGTATCGTGCACCCGAATTGCTTTATGCAGCACGTTCATATGGTGTAGGTATCGATATGTGGTCCGTTGGATGTATTATTGCTGAACTTCTACTACGAGTCATACTTTTATTTTTTTTATCAGTTATAAAATTCTCTCTTCATTTAGCGAAAACGCTCTTATCTTGTAGTTAACGAATAGTTATTTGAAAACATGTAAACATTTTTTTTTTTTTCTTTGGTTTCAATTTTTTTTTTGACAAATCTAATTAAATACTCGTTTGTTTCTCTCAGGTGCCAATATTTCCTGGCGAGTCAGACATCGATCAACTTGTAAAGATTTATAGCATTTTAGGAACACCAACGGCGGAAGATTGGTCGGTAAGTGGTATGAAAAGATTGAAATTCAAGAACTGTCCTTTTTTTTCTATTTCTTATTCTTTTCCATTTTTAGGGAATGGAAGAATTTCCCGATTTTATAACTATAAAATCAATGCCAGGCATTCCACTTAAAAATGTATTCACTGCTGCTGGTGATGATCTCATCGAATTAATTTATCAGTGCTTAAGGTATGCTTAAGGATTTTGCTAATCTTTTTGCCATTTTCAGAAACTTTTCCTATATTTTCCTTTTTCTTATTTTATTTGAGCCTATCAAATATTTGTTTCTCTGCCTTTTTTTAGGAGATCTATTAACAAAAAAATAGACCATAAAATTTTCCAGATTTGATCCAAACAAAAGGTGGAATGCAACTCAAGCACTTTGTTCTCATTATTTCCAATCGGTACGACAACTTTTATACTTTTGATATTAGGTTGCATTTTTTACTTCAGCTGTAAAGCAACTAACTTATAGAATATTTCTTAAATCTGCTTTCGTAATTATATTAATAGTTGTAGTTGCTAAATGAAGACATGACTAATAAATATAATTTTATAGTAATCAATAAATCATGTAATATCGATGTAACATTTTAAACGACTTAATTGGTTATTTTAAAATTATTTCTTTAGTGTTTCGTTTACTTATTTCGGTATCGGTTAGCTAATGAGAAGTCAAGATTATTTATTGATCAATATTCTAGAGAATAAATCAATATTCTAGATGCCATATGCGTGCGATGATTGTGACTTGCCATTGCCAACCACGAGTCGATCAGAAGTTTTTAGACGGAGACGCCGAGAATATGCAAATGATGATGATGGTACTCCTACCAAATTCCGTAGACGGCTTGAATTTGATTAATATATTTAAAGAACTTGAAAGCTATTTTTTCATTATTTATTCAAAGTTGGTTTTAAAATTTATTGTGCCTAATAGTAGGATGGTCTTACATAATTGCTCAAATTTAAATAATGGAATTTGTGGAATTTCATTCCTAGACAAAGGTCGTAACTTTTTTTTCAAACTAATTCCAATCGTGGCCTTAATGAAGAAAAACCAGTACAAAATTTTAATAAAGTTTTTAATTCATAATTAGATATTAAATTGCTTATGAATGATTTTTCAAAGATATTTTTAGTAAAACTGTGGCATTTAATTTATTTATTTATTTTGATAGTGATTTTTGAATGAAAGTGCAGAATTAGCAGTGTACATCTGTGGCTACGTCAACCTTGTGTGTAATGTTCGTTGTAAGCAACTGTTTACTTTTTGGAAGTAAGCAGCGTAGATTTCTCTCCCTCTCCCTCTTTCTCCTCCATTCTACTTTTATTCACAATCGTCTCTAACTACTGTTTCTATTACTACTGTTTCAAGTGCTGATTTACTTCTCTGAATGCTACTAGATGAGGATTATCTTTGTGATGTTATGTCTTCTTACTTCAATATTTATGCAGTTTAAAAAGTTTGTCTTCCTACTGCTATAGCTTAAAAGTTGTTGTGAAGAAAATTGACTTTGAGATGAACTATCATAATGGTACATTTATTTCTTACCAACGATATTTTATGCTCTCTTTCTCTGTGTAACTTCACAACATTAGTATATTTATTCTTATATCATTCTTGAGCTTTTTAGTAAATTTCGAAGACCTATGGAAGCTCTTCATAGCTTTTCATTTGTTGATTGTACGAGTTCTACAACTTTTTCACTTAATTTTATAGTCCAAAAATTTTACTTTTCGGTGTTGCAGCGACTTTTTTTTCTTTTTGTGATTACACATAATTTGACTCATTGCTATACGCGTATAACGTTCGAAATAGTTTTATAGGTTTCATGATATACCTCTTTATCTCTGTCCCATTAGATTATCATTATTTGCTTATTTAAATTTCTTTTAGTGTGATCGCTTTGTATTTTCACTGTGAAAAAGTCTGTGTATTTTTTGGAATAAATTTTGTGAGTGATATCCTTTTTAATTGAAATTATCATTTGTTACATTAAAATCTTTCCCATCTCCTGACCTTTTGTTTTAAAGTGGCATTGTTCGGTAACTGAGTAAAATTTGTATAAAGAAATCTTTACTTATACTATAGACTTGTTAGCTGATAAAAAGAACAATATTTAATCCAAAAAGTGTTCAAAATATCACTTATCATTTAGTGGGAAGATATAGGTCAAACGGAATATTAAAAAAAAGAAAACTGATTATATATATGAATTGGGAATTTTTGATTTTGAAATTTAATACTAGGGATTTCAAGTATTGATTGTACTTGCAAAAAAAAAAAAAAGATTGTGTGAACAATTAATTGACTATTTGCATCAATGGTACAAAAAAAAGATGCGAACATTTCGAGAATATAAATTTAAGTATCATTTTAAAGGATCTATCAGGAAGACTGTGGTACGAGAATATTCTGAGCAATTAGAAACGTGATGAATTTGTTACCTAGTCCAACATATCATTATATTTCACCGTTGGCCAGATCAAGATCTGAAGCACGTGGAGCTAGATCAGTACGACGATCATATTCATTCTCTCATGGATCAGGCGCATCATCTTTTGGAAGTGGCGCACTTACCATGCCACAATACGGTTACGGTGGCGGATACATGTCTAAATCATTGTCACGAAGTTGTACGTATCAAAATTTAACATTTCGCTAACATATTTTAATTTGCAAAAAATATTGTTAAAAATGTTTGCTTTTCTTTGTAAATTACAAAGTGAAAATAACTAAATGTTAAACTTACTTATCCAAGAGAATATCCATTTAACTTGCTAATATTATAAATGATTTGTTGTTGTTTTTCAGCTTCTTCATTATTTGGGCGCTCATTGTATAGCTCAGTGTTAACACGGACACCACCTCTTCATAGTGTGGGTTTACAGCGTAGTACACCTCATTATACTGATAAATATCCTTATGTAAGATATTCATATGGAAGTACTGATACTGGTCTTGGCATTCTTACACAGACTGAATCGGTAAGTTACGCTTATGATTGAATTTTAAAACTTTATTTTTACTTCTTATACTAGAGAATGAATAAAATAAAAAAAAAAAAAAGAAAGAAAAAAAAAACAAAGGAATGAATTGGTTTTCTTCTTTTTTTTTTTTTTTTTTTTTTTCAAATGACAAAGGAGAAAGAAATGAAAAATATTATCTATTAGTTAATTATTTAATTATTTACTATGAAATTATTTAGTTATTTACTATGAAAATTATTTACTTTCGTTACTAATTACAGATAGCAACTAGGGATTATAGTATGCGTGATCTAAGAACGAAACGATGGTTGGAAGGACGATCAAATGCTTATAATATGGGACTTTCAACAGTGCCTAAATACACTTCACAAATTGAGCGTCCAATTACTCCTGTACGAAATTATGTACGGTAAGTTAGACTATACAAAAATTGAACAAGATATTAATATTTAAAGCAATAGTTCAACTAATTATAGCCAACATTTAAGAGTTATTGAAGTGGTAACTAATCAAATTATAGCCAAGGATTCTTTTTTTTCATACAACTTTGAAGTGAAAAGTAATAGTGCTCTGAAGAACTGAAAATTTTAGCAAAGCAACTTTTTTTTTGTTTTTTGAATTCAAATCAGTCGCAAAAAGTCCTGAAGAATTTAGTTAGCATTTTGATAGAATATCTTTTGAATTCAATTAGTGAAAGAAAATTTCTGATGAGAGTTTTAAATGCAATAATTAGAATAACTAGTTCACTTCTAGTTCTTGGTTTAACTTTACAGTAATTTATTTATAACACGATGTCACTTTTTCTTTCTTCAGTTTAATTAAATTTAGATATATGCCTATAGAAGATGCGCTAAATATGTACAAAAAACGATGTATGACCGTTGGCACGTTATCCAAGTAAAGTTTTTTTTTTTCTTTTTTCCCCACTTAAACTTAGTCTAAAATAATAAAAAAACTGCAAAAAAAAAGACCCTAAAAACCCATTATTCTTTTCGAATACTCTAATGACTCAGTAAGGGTATTGTTGATGACTTGAGAAGAGATTAAAATCAAAATAAATAAGGCGCGGAAGTTTTCAGATAAGCAACTGTTGCAGGTACTGGTTGTCACCAACGTGGCAGTCACGTAAAGAAAAAGAATTGAACCTCAGTTCGGCATCTGCTAGAGGTGACTATTTGTACGCTTCACGATATTCCTCCAACCATCCTACTTACTCTCGTGTTGCCAACCGTCTTTATACGAATTACTAAAATCTTGGCGAAAATTTATATTTTGGGATGAATTAAGGACTGTGCAATTTACAACATCCTATTATAATGGAATTTTGATTTCATTAAAAACGAATCCCCAAGAATTCTTTAACAATTCATAGTATCTGAACAGCTTTGTATTCACAAAGTTTACATTTCATTACCAAATCGTATAATTTTATTGTCCCTCACAAAATCCTAGTAATGTTAACATGTTTCTTCAAAATGCTTTTTCTTGAATCCTTAGCACAAGAAGACTGACAGATAGTATTTACAGAATTTTAGATATACCTGGTCGGGAAGGTATTAGAACCATATTTGTAAGGATATAAACTCTCTCAAAAGTCATCTTAATCTTTTAAGAACACATAACAAAATATAACATGATCAAGATATTTGAAATCCTCCAGACGATCTTTCAATTACAACATAGATGAGAAAACGTATCATGCCAGTCATGAGGGAATACCTGGCATTCTAATTTTGCAGTCCTGTAAATAATGTCTCCCTTCATAGTAGGACCGCAACACCCTACACATAAAAAAGCGCACAATATTCGATGCACGAACCTAATGAAATACGACTTTTATAAGCACGGTGTAAAAAACAGAGGAACAAAACAATACATAGTCGCAAACAATTTACAAATGGATAACCAGTTCCTAGAACTGAAACATCGTATCTTGTGCAATAAAATGGAGCAGTGTTGGAATTAGTAAAACTAGTTTTGTAGGAATTTTTCTAAATCGAGATAGGCTCCATTGAGAACTCTTCGGATGGAAGGAATTCAGACTTCACATTTTTAAGCGAATTCTTCAAAATTAATTTGTCAGTCCCAATGCTGAAACAAAAATTCTAACATGAAAATACTTAAAATAAAGCTCTTCATATAAACAATATGTGTCCTAGTATCCAGAATATACATGAAGGAAGAGCTCCTACCGATGAGCAGTAAAACAATTACTTTTACTATTATGTCCTTATAACCGGTAGTTCGTGGTACATTAGAATTGAGCAAAATATCGTAGTGAAAACCAACTTTAACTAAAATGTTAAAATAAAACAAAACGAACCCATTCGCGTCTCGTCAGCAAAATATCTGACGTCGAATTCGCTATCATTACACATTTTAATCAGTAATGGTTTGATCTGACTGTTAACTATTCTAAAAGACAAAAATAACTTAGTAAATATAAATGATTATTAATTTCTAATGTGGAAAGGACAGAGCTCGATTCAGTTTAACAGACATTTTCATTGACGATAGTTTAATTGTAAATTTACTTACGGTTACAAAAAAAAAAGCATACCCCTGATCAACCGTATGACCAATACGGAGAAGAGTTTTAGCAACATTGAATCTGACATTCGGCACATGGTCATCACTTAGCTAAAAGAATGCACATGACTAGAATTCTAACTCAAAAACGATGTACACAGTGTTATTATAGTAAGTGTTACTTCATAAATGTGAAATGTACAAATTCCCGTGAAAACCTATTTCAATGAAAAAAGAAAAGAAGAATACAAGCTGAAACCTGTTGTACTACAGGGAAGATTTCTTTAACAGTATGCTCTGCACCCAGAGCTTCACAAAGAGTATTGAAGCAAAATAAGCATGCCATACGATGCAAATAGTTTGTATCGGTCGCAAGTGCTGTTACCTAGAATGATAAAAGTTGCAGATTAAGCGTATTCATGTACCATCGATGAATAGGAAATTACTCAAAACTTCATATAAAGTTTCAGAAGCATAAAATTTCGAAGAATTTCTAAAGCCTAGTCCGACCTATTATTCAGCTCCTCCCCTAAGATAGAATTAAAATATGCTCCTTTCGTAAAATATAATAAGAAGGTTCATACTGACAATAAAGAACAAAGCAAGTGGATAACCCAGTTTTTGTTAAGGAAAACATCTATAGTACCTTTGGAACCACCTGTTTCATCGCCCAATCAGCACCAAACTTTTCCGTTAGTTGTTTCAGAATTCCAGTCGCTGCTTCGCGTATGGCATAAACTAAAACAAAGAAGAAAAATGTCGACACAAAACAAAGCAAATAAATGAAAAATTTTTCAATTTATGATTTTTTACCATGATCGGTTAGCCATGCCATACAAAGCGGAAGCAATTTCTCATCGAAAAATTCTTGACCCTGAAACATGAAATAAAATAAAAAGATTAGACAATCGGAGCACGGATCAGCATTTCCTTTGCTTAATAGAGTAAAGAATATATGGATTCGAATGTTTTAATCTAACGAATTCCTTGTAAACAGAAATTTATTTGATATCAAATCTGATACAAAAATAAAATTGACGAAACTCAAATTAAAAAACCTACCAATTGAGCAGCAAGCAAAGGCATGAAATCAACAATTGCTAGACGTACACGCCATTTGCCATCTTCAGCTAATTCTACAATTGACGGTAACAACGACTGTGACAATTGCGATGCACCGATTACTTCATTCACCTGCAAAGAAAAACCATATAATATTATACGAATAACTGAATATTACCAACCAATAACTTAGTGTTTCTATTCCATTCTGCTTCAGATTTTGTTAAACTGTACCAAGGATTTCTTAAATCACTATTTAAGAACTATTCATCAATCAAAAACAAACCTTGTCCAGTGAAGAAATTATGTTTAATCGAACTTCGGCAGTTTCATCACGCAAAAGGGTCAAATAAATTGGTAGAAGGTGCTCCATCGTGAGATCTTTTCCAAGTATTGGAGCTAAACCCATGACCACAGATGCAAGTGCTGTTTTTACATGCTGATTTGGATCGCTAACAAGCTCTTTAACAACAGGTAAGACATGAGTCAAGATTGCTTTTTCTCGACCAATTGCAGGAAGTGCAGCACAAAATGCTGAAAAATATGATAATATATAACTACAGTTTCAAAGATGCTATCTTTTTGAGAATGAAAAAAATCAAACCTTGTATTTTTGCAGCAGCTGCACTACGTACTTCGCCTTCCATATCCTTTAGAAGACTGCTGAATGCCGGGAGAAGCTCGTTTATTGTTATGTCTTTGCCAACAGCAGATTGTATCTTGAAATTCAATAGTTAACTCGTCTTCAGAGATTTCATTTTTTCTTTTATTATTAGATATTTTTATTAGTTCTAAAATATTGATTTGGACAGATAACAAACTCTTTCACAACAAGTAAAATATAAGTCAAGATTGCTTTTTCCCAATCAACTGAAGAAGTGAGCACGAAACTAGGTTCAATTTTGATGTTGCCTTTTCATTTATTTTAGACCTCAAATACTAGTCAGACTCCTACATATTTAACTCGACAATTCCATACAGGCTTTCTGACACGACTGTGTTAAAAATACGGTTCTACATTTACTTCTTACATAAATTTCAAGATTCTAAATGTTGAATTACTCCATTAAATCCATATATCAACAAAAATGTGGGAATCATGTAAGGCTTACGTCAGTGAATTTCTCAGCCACCATATAACGCACACGCCAGCTTTTGTCCTCAATTAGATTGATGAGAACTGGTTTAATGAGCTCTTTCCGTTGTTCTTCCGTCAACAAAGCAGCGATAGAAATGCATGCTTCAACTGCTAACAATCGCACAGAATCCTACAAAAAATGTTTGCATGGTTTGCTCCAGTTATGCTCATGAAAAATCAACATTTAAATTTTCACCTGCTCATCTGAAGCCAAATCCATAAACATCTGGAGGAGTTCGTCGCGAAGAAAATCGGCTTCGAAAACTTTGGCAAACTCGCCTAATTTTGAAGCTGCAGCACGTCGCACCATCGGTGTGTCATCACGACATAATGTCCGAAATAAACTAAATCAGGCATATTGGTTAAATTTTATAATTTCTTGAAGTACAAGGACAAAGTTTTTCAGACGTTTCTTATGTATAAAACATACTTCCGAAGCTCCGACTTTATAGCAGGACTCACTCTGGGATAAGCGACACTGAAAAGTCCACATGCCGAGGTTCGCGATGTGAACCAATCACCTGCAATAAATTCGAGAATACGCTAACACATACATACGCAAAGACAGTCAAATTCTTAAATTCACCTTAATACAAATGACACTTTTATTTTTATAATTTCATGATTATAAAAGTGATTTTTCTAATTTCATGTGAATTATGCAAAAATTTGTACCACAGCTACACAATACTTTTGTTGAAACACTATTTATGCCACAGATTAACTGCTACCATGCAGTCTATATCTTACAAATTATGTCATACAGTATATCTTGACATATTACCACCATTTCAAAGGCCTAAAGTTTAACTGTCCATCCACAAATATACTTATGAAAAATATAAAAAATTGTTTAAGTTTTGAATATAAAAGTCTTTAGAACGTAAGAAATTAAAAAGTACTAAAAATAAATGTAAACAATCTAACCTGTAGCTAAACGTCTGATCATTGGGATGAAGTGTTCTTCGAGAGCAGCACTTGAATGTTTATCTGCGATTTTGCGTAAACTTTCCACAGCTTTATCACGCACTACGGTTTCCTCAACAGTAGCTAAATTTTCAAGTGGTGGAAGCAAACAGTAGACATAGTCTGGGCCACCAACTAATGGCGTGAAGTTGCCTAACTGTTCGGCCAAAGCAAGAAGTACTTCATCTTCGTCGTAGATAGTGTCTATAACAAATCCAGGAAAAAAGATATGAGAAACTGTATCTTCAAACTTTCAATTATTCTTCAATGAAAGAAAACATAATAACGAATCTAAAAAACTTTTTTCCAGACAATTATTCAAATCAAACTTTTGCACCGAAATATTATCACTAATTTTAGCAGTAGCTAAATTCTTCTTATAGTTGTCGTCTACATACAGCGAACTATCAACACAAACCTGTTAAGAACTGAATTAATTCGCCACGTGTACGTTCAACGCCCAATGCAAGCGCAATAGTTGATAATTTACGTATACTATTCAAACGTAGTTGTACATCTTCATTTCGAAGTTCGTCAATGAGTATAGCAATAGGA